TTCGTGCTCAACTTAGTTATCAATCTTATCATATTTGTTTGACATCTTTGATACAAGTAACGAGTTCACTTCCAAGTGAACAACCCGATAGTCTTCTTCTTATCATAGCATACCAACCAGCGAACACCCAGCCAAGTTTAGTTAGCCAGTTTGAGTATTCGTTACAGCATTCTGCTTCGCTATCCTCGTCGGACTATATTACTTGAAAATTACAATAAGAAGCTATCATAAGGTATAGAAATGTTGTCGAAAGAGAAAGAATACAAGGAAAGACCTTAGGGATGATTATTTGTCTTAATATAGATAAAAAACTCGTTAAAAGTGGCCCCCCTTTTACCCCGCTTAGGACTAGTAACTCACTCGCTTAAAAAGGCCCTGAAATACGCTATAGATATAGTAGATTAGTCCCTAAAATATAGGGACCCACCACTAAAATTTAGGGATCCACCACAAAAGTATAGTAGATTATAGGTCCGAGAGCGCTTCAGGGTACTCACGGCCCTATATAGATCCCTACAGGGCTTAGACCCTAGAGTGCCCTCGCTTTTGACCGCGCTCTACGTACAGAGTAATGCCCGCCTCTCTTCCCCTCCGGCTCCCCTCACCTCCTCCTGGCTGGGCTCGGGAAATTGTTCAAGGTAGGTAAGCAAATATTTCTAGCCTCTACATATCAAAAGCGCTTTTATCCAACGAATATGCAAACAAATCTTATTAAGTAGAGTCACATCGCAGAGGTACCTAGTGCAGTGCGTTGTGTATGGATTCATAGATACAAAGAACAAAATCCCAAATGCTCCAGCAAGGTCTATCATGGTATCTTCCCCCCTGGCCAATTAATTGCGGCTCGTAACACGAGCCAAAGTAAACACACCAACAATAACAACTGCAAGAGTAACAATCGCACCAGGCAACAACAACTCATTGGGAACACCGGCAATCACTTGCTCCTCAACTGGTTTGGAATGAGCCCTCCTCGGTCGCGACTTGATTGGCACTTCATCTTCACTCTCTTCATCATCCTCGGAAACGACTCGCTTTCGGTGACGAACAGTCTGCGATGCTGGAGGGCTCGGCTCATGGCTGATAACTGGTTGAGGGTCGAGCGTAGCACTGATTGCTGGCTTCTCAGGATCATGAATGAAAAGATCCACCTTGTCCCGGTGACCTTGGCGCGCGAGCTGAATAGCTTCGAGAAGATCTTGATCAGTGGTAATGGATACAGTATCTCCATCGTCATCCATATAACTGAGAGCAAATCCAGAGCTCCCTAATTGTCCATCCTCAAATGTTGCTGGACCTCCAACTGCCTCTACTTCAGAGCCAAGCTTTGCAATCACTGCCGCAATGAGCTCTGCCAATCCATGAGCGCCAATGACTTGCATGCGGTGCACACGACCACTTGGAGCCTTGAATTTAAAGGGGAAAGGTACATCTTCAGGGTGTACTTCTGGTTGGCGTGACACCATTGAGTGTGGAGGCGAGTCTCCCAGGTGAGAAGCGGAGTCGTTTGGTGCAACACTGGCATCCACGATACGCTCATGGCGAGACATGTCAGGTGACATCAAAGATCGCCCTCCTGTAGTATGGGCATGATGATGACTGGCGCTTCCTTCTCCAGACATGACTGATTCCGTTCCGTCATCTAGGGACATCCAGAATTTATTCCAAGCGGGACCTTGGTTCTCACCACCCTCGCCAGTTGACATCGTGTTGATTTGTTCAAGGGTGGCATAAGTCAATTTCAAAACATCAACCATACCCACAATCTCACCAGAATCGTTCATAACGGGAAGATTCAAATAGTGGCCATCTGAAGATATTTAGCTTATAAGTCAGAAAGTTGAATTTTGAAACATACCATGCATCTTTCTAAGCGCCGCTTGAATGCTCATATCCATTGGCGCGAAATCTGGGTGTGGGGTCATTACTCGAACAACACTGCAGTTGGCGGGGTCAAGACCAGGAGCAATAACTCGTAAGACAACATCTTTGCTAGTAAAAATTCCCGTGATAGAGTCTTGGTCTTGAACGAGAACGGCGGTGGTATGATGTTCCTTCATTTTTGCCGCGGCTTCCTTGACCGAAGTGCGCACGCTCACTGTGACTGGCGCCCGGCCATCAAGTACAGATTCCAATGTAGGACCGGACATTTTCATTCGAAGTGCCTCCACATATTGGATGATTTGTTGAGGTTGACTTGATCCCAGCTCCGATTGAACACCCTCGAGAGCATCATATAACTTTCTCGAGGAGCTGTATGCTCTTTCTAGTTTCTCCATGGCATCGTAGAAACATTTGGTGATATCCAAAATACCGGAAATATCTTGATTCTCGTCCATCACAGGCAAATGGCGAAACCCTTTCCGAACCATGAGATCCAAAGCATCGGTGGCACTCGTATCTGTTCGCGCACAGAGAGGATTCTTGGTCATGATATCCGCAATCATAACGTTGCTCGCTTTCAGACCGGCACCCACCACTCTAAAAGCAAGATCCTTTGCTGTGAAAATACCAGCAATTCGATCATCATCGTCGGTAACCAGAACACAATCCTCCCTCTTCGCAGCCATCAACTGTGCCGCCTCGGCGACAGTGGTATTTGGTTTGATTTGCAGGGCTTGACTAGGTCGAAGGGCGAGCACGGTTCCCGGAGGACCCTTTCGTGTCTGCCGTGCTCGTCCAGTGGTGGTCTTCTTCTTGCTGAGGTCCGTCTCAATCTTTCTCCGGATCGCCTAGAGGAAAAGTGAATATTAGTTCACAGCTATCCAGGGCAGAATAACCAATCGATAAGGACGCAGAAAAGCATACCTCATCCCTCTTGGATTGCTTTTGTCTACTGGCGCTCATGGTTGATCCAGCGGCTTCGGTTTGTTGAACTGTTGACATTGCGCTGCTCTGGTGGGCATCCAAAGCAGCTGGCCGAGGAATATTTGATACTGGACTGTTGAATGCCGGCGTGTTTCCACGGTGACCTTGTCGACTCGGCGTACCTCGCACAGTGCCACCAGTAGTAGACATCTCAAGGGCGTCGATGTGGAGCTATGCCACGTTGCTCGGATAAAAGAGCGAACTGGTCGAGGGCAAGATTCTGGAGGCGGGATGATGATGGTGGAAGGGGTTGCCCAGATAGCCGGATTGCAATGCGGGTGTTTTTTTCCTGCGTGAAGCTTGGTCTGGTTGGTGGGCGACGCCCGGAATAACTGGATAATCCGGCCGGGCCAATGGGAGGAATTTGGAACGTACCTATTCGTACTCGAGTACTGGAGTGGTAAATATCCATCCATGACTTGCACCTCTCTTCGAGTTATGACGCCAATTGTATAAGCGGGGCTATCAGAATTAATCCGTACGTTGGAGAGACGTGCATAACCTATTTAATGAAGATTTAATTGTTCTGGAAGTGCTGGGATGGTTGTCCAAGGCAAAAAGTGTCTTGAAACCAAGTCACCAAGCCCCCGCAACCTGCATCTGACCGTCGTCCCTAGCAACGTAACCAGCCTCGGTCGGATCTTTTAGTAAACATCCAAATCCTCCCAAAACCTCACCAACCTGCAAATCCACTGCATACCAGCTACTCACAAACCACAAATACCACAAATCTACACATCTACACATCTACAAATCTACACTACCTCATCGAATCCATAAAACTCTCCTCTGGCCTCGAGGGAAAAGAATTAGATAACCTACGCTTTTCGTCTCGACCCAAGGCCTGAGGAGGGCCCCTTTTCAACTCCACCGGACTCGATACGAGTCTACCTGTACTGAGAGAACCAACAATCTCTAATTACCCGGCCTAACGGCTTGCGCTGCGTGAGGTATGCGATATATTTCCGGTTTTTCTACCTCACGAAACTCATTTCCTCGACCTAAACTTGCGAATGCGCATGAGGTGGAGACGAAGTCGATGAAGTATGTGGATATGCTAACATGCATGCTCCAGTCTCGGAACCAACAGGTTTGCTTAATTGCAATACTTACAACGACGAACGACACTTCCGAACTCTTCAAGCATTCATAATGCTGTCAAATCCAACCAAAGCTCTTCACAATCGCCAACGACAACATCGACGACAAAATTCAACACCAACGGCATTCGAACCTGTGAAAGCAAACAACCTGCCAGATATACAGAGACATGGCACACATCGACGTGGCATGAGTCTCGATCAACGACGACAACCTTCATCACCGCAGGATGTAACGGTAAGTAATACTAACAATCAAGGATATCAAACGACACAACAACAGCATATATTGCGAGAAACGCAGCAGCAGAGACTGGTACGCCCGGGTCACCACTTTCGCCTCGACAATGACGAGAATTATCTCAATTCCCCCGCCGTCACCCCACATAGACAATCTTTTGATGCCGGATGTATCAATTACGTAGACCAAATAAACGCTCAGTTTGGCTACACCGGACCAATCAACCCACTAAATTATGTCGACCCTCATTCATTTTCGGGAGCCAACGACTTCGGCATTTTTGCTCCAGGCGGTGCAATGACTCCTTCAGCATTTCTGAATTTCTCTGCCGAGTTTGACAACAGCAACAATCCTTCCAATGATGGCAGTAGAAGATCATCGAGTGGACGGAGAATCAGTGGTGGTATTATGGACCGAGTGTCTCAATTTGAGAACATGGCTATTCAATCACCCCTCCGTCAGAGACCTATTACACCACCAAATCAGAATGTAACAAGTAAGTCTTATTTATTTTTCTGGAAGAAGAAAAAACTGCCAGAATTAGCTAACATCATTGCCAGGTTATTTCCCGCCTACTCCAATTGGTACACCTCAGGATAGAATGATCAAGCAAGAACAAATGAATCAACGATTTCTCGATTCCTACGACACATCCATGGAGGAGACGATCAAACCAAAAAGCAATCAAAGAGCGCGAGGAGTTTTTGAAGATATGCGAAGAGAAGCAGAAATGAACGCCATACAGCCCATCCCGAGCCAGGCTCGAAACATAATTGTTCAGACAAGTTTTGATTCTGCTCCAATGCCAACCGCAAACTTCATGAACATGTCAAATCTTAATCTTGAATTCATGAAAAATGAACCCCAGTATCCACAATTTTCGCCTGTCGCAGCAGACCCATCTTCAGCAGTTTCCTATAGCTCCTCTCCAGATATTTCCCAGCGTACAATCAAAGGAAATCCATTCGCGAATACTCCGGCAATGGAACCCGCTTACAACGAGCCACAGCCAGCAACAAGACATCTAGTATCTCCCTCACCTCTATCACAGGCTTCTCACCGACGCTCCGAATCAATATGCAGTATCAATCTTGACGAGTCGCAAACCGAGACTGGTATCACTCTAGATGACATTGCCAATTTCATTCAGGGCCCAGATCCTCATGACGGAAAATGGGTATGCCTTTTTCCAGAATGTGGCAAACGGTTCGGACGTAAGGAAAATATCAAATCGCATGTGCAAACCCATCTAGGTGACAGACAATTCCAGTGCCCGCACTGCAAGAAATGCTTCGTTCGCCAGCATGATCTCAAGCGTCACGCCAAAATCCATAGTGGTGTCAAGCCTTATCCTTGCCAGTGTGGTAACAGCTTTGCGAGACATGATGCTCTTACTCGTCACAGACAAAGAGGAATGTGTATTGGAGCTTTTGGGGGTGTTGTGAAAAAGACCGCCAAGCGAGGACGCCCGCGTAAGAATCGTCCAGACGATGAGAAGCGCCTCACCAAATCTTCAAGAACACGTAATAAGAACAAAGGAATGTCATCAGGCTCGTCCACAGGAGGTACTGAGAGCACTTCGGGAAATTCACCACGGAGCGAGATTGATATCTTGGATGACAAGCTATTCGGCAATTATCGATATGGACAAACCTCCAAGCCTTCCCAGGAGGCGGATAAAGCCACTTTAGAATACTTACAGCCACAGTCTCCGAATTCAGCAGAGTGCATCTCACCCCAAGACACTCAAAATCCTTCCTCTCCGGCCGCGAATAGTGTTCACTCAACTTATTCACGTCATCAGTCGTTCTCGGATAACCTCCCATCCTCGCCTCAATCTCCCGCTCGCAGCCAGCACAGCCAGTATCATTCGCCGCCTGGTCTTTGCGAATCATCTTCATCACCTGCTCCCAGCCACACTTACTACGATATTGACAACTCTTCCAATCACGGCGAGGCAATGCCCAGTCTATCATTGGCCAATATCTCTGAGCACGACGACGAGATGTTCCTCGAGGCTTTTGCCGCAGCGGGTTCTAATGGCTTGAGCCAATTGGAGCGAGACCCAGAAATGCTCTTGTCAAAGTTTGACGATAGCTTCAACGCTTCTGGGGGTGAAGATATGTTCAAGAACGAGGCGGATGTTTTCTTTGGGAGCCCATGATTCTATTGAGTCCTTTTCATGTATGCAACCAAGTCAAGGACAATCTCGAGGATGCGAATTATGCGGCTTTATTCTCCTTTTCGCGAAGCATCTTTCTCGACTGTATCAATATGTATTCTGGAGGCCGATCTCATAGGGTGTGGGTTAATGGGACTGGCGGAATGGTGTTTGCTTTTTTTATTCTGCCAAAAATTTCTTCAACGATTTCCTTTCTTTAGGCGTTGTTTTTTAACTGAGTCTATTACTTTATTTTAGTTTATTTGTGGTTTTCATGGAGGCAGCAATTCCCTGGAAGGGAATGGGCTGCGGGCTGGGTTTTCTTTTATGATAATGATGGAGAATATGACGGAATCAAAAAGGGGGAATTTTATGCTGGGGTCTTGCATGCTAGTCAGTCAATGAAATTCAAGATTCGCTCTTCGATGATTATCTCGATTTTTTTGCCTGTGAAGTGATGAGGTGTAGATATCAGATTGCAGATTATCTCTGAGAGTAAAGTGGGTTTTGAGGCGTTGGGTATATCTAAACATGGCCGATTTGTTCAACTACTACACAGTAAGGCAAATCAAATATCACTGAAACGATACCTGAAGGATTTGGTTGGCATAGAAATATTATTGCCTTAACTCTCGTCGACACCACTAGTGTTTCAATCCAATACTACTGCATATCATCGAAAAAAAGGGCGGGTATGAAGCGGTCTTGGGTGAGAGTGTAGCATTAAGAAATTCAGAATGATCCTAGGAATGAACAAGCCAGTATTTGACGTAAAAGCAAGCCAAAGGGGTAAAGGGGTCTGGTCCAACTGCTTGTAGAATAGATGAGAATTGGCTTAAAAGGAAGATAGAAAGTTATTGGAAATGCCGGTAGTTGTGAGAGGCCAGACCTTGAACAGCTCAAAGGTGTGGTTTCGAATATTGAATTAAGAAGTGCGTGAAGACTACATACATGCGAGCTCTTCCTCTATATATAGAGAGAGGAAGAGCTTCCTGAATATTCCAAGAAACTTGCAAGAAACTTGAATGACGAATACATGATGTCAGAAGAACAAAACAAGAAAGTGTGGAATGGTGGAAACCTGTTTGGCGGTGGGGTAATGGCCAGTGCTAAGCGGGGACTTTGGTCAGTGCTTAGCGAGGGCATGGCCCGAGCCTCCATCATGGGTTCCAACCCTCACAGTAGTACACAAATGGAATATCCTGACCATCTCCCCTCTTCAGACATACTAGATGATACCATCTCTTAGATGTTAACTTATCAGTAGTTTCACAGGCATTTCAACGAAGTAGTTTGGAAATGGTACTTCTCCCCGAAAACAAATCATTTGGTATTACTTTAGGAGCCGTTTGGCTTAGCAAATTTAAAGATATACACCATATAAAAAGATTTACATACATATTGTAATATGTATAATTTACATACATATTACGATATACGCTACTATTTAGATAGGACTAATTATTTTCGTCTAATTTAGCTATAAATCCGTTGTAAATCTATATACAAATCTTTTTAGATTTACACTACTAAAATAAAATATATAAAGATATAGAACCCTCGAGGTTCTATATCTTTTTCTTTTGTATAAATCTCCTTGTAAATCTATCTGCCCCCCTGTAGTAATTTCTACTATATCTCCCCCCCTACTATATCCCCTCCTATAGTGTCCCCTCCTATAGTGTCCCCTCCTATAGTATCCCCTTATACTAATAGAATAATAGAAAGAAAAACCCGGCTAATATGTTGCTATAAATCGTAGGCGTAAAAAGAGGCGCTGGGTCGGGGGGGGGGGTTTG